CCTCATGCTTTAAATAGACACCATGTATCCATTTAATTCACAGAGACTCCTTTTTGACATGAATATCCCAAATACATTTTAGAGCTGAAGCTGTATTCCAACTAGGAGCTGAAAAAATCCCCAAACCTCCTTTCTTCCTCCCCATGCAAACTCTCTCCCATGCAACCAGAGGAGTTCTTAGATTATGACCTGATTTCCCCCACAAGAATCTCCTACATAACCCATCCATTTCCTAGAGAACACTGGCTGGAAGAATATAATTTGATGTCTAGAATATTTGAACACCAAGGATTACACTCTTAATTATTTGCAATCTACCTGCATAAGACAAATACCCATGATTCAACCATTTTTGAAATTGTTCCGAGATCTTTGAGAGGAGGGAATTGCAGTCCATGTAAGACAATTTTCTAGTTGTGAGAGGAACTCCCAGATACTTAAATGGCATAGCACCTTCAGAGAACCCTAAGTAGTTGCTAATGGAGGATTTGACTGATTCATCTATACCACCATAGAAAACAGAGCATTTCTCTGGATTGGTCTCAAGTCCAGATGCAGCACTGAACTCTTTTACACATTGAAATAATTTGTGCACTGAATATACATCACCCTCGGCAAAGAGGAGGAGATCATTTGCAAATATTAGGTGAGTAATTTTGAGCTGACTACACTTGGGATGGAACTTAAAGAGTCTGTCATTCTTTAGCATCCCTAACTTCCTTGAAAGATACTTCATTCCTAGAATAAATAGATAAGGAGAAATGGGGTCTCCTTGTCTTAAGCCATGTTTGCCTTTGAAATAGCCATAGAGAGAACCATTAAGAGATAAAGAATAACTTGGAGAGGTAATACAAGCCAATATCCAACCAATCATGACCCGTGGAAATCCCAAACCATGAAGTAGATCAGACAGAAAAGACCAGCTGATGGTGTCAAAGGCCTTCCTTATATCAATATTAAGCATAGCTCTTGGAGAGAGATGCTTCCTATTGTAGCTATTCACCAGTTCATGAGCCAATTTGATATTGCTAGAGATCTGTCTATCCTTTACAAATGCACTTTGAGCATCATTTACAATATACCCCATAACAGTCTTGATTCTATTGGTGATAATTTTTAAGATAAACTTATAAAGACTATTACAGCATGAGATAGGCCTATAATCTGAAGGATTTTTAGGACAATGTACCTTTGGAATAAGCGTAATTGAGGTGGAGTTTACCATACCTAATAGTTTACCAGATCTGAAGAACTCCTCAATAGCCATAGTGACCTCCTCTCCAATAATAGCCCATGCAGATTTAAAAAATAAAACATTGTACCCATCTGGACCTGGAGCTTTATTTTCAGCCATAGAGAAGATGGCAGTTTTGATTTCATCCTTTGTAACTGGTCTAGATAATTCCTTGGCTTGAGGTGCATTCAGAACAGGACCAGAATTTATGATATCCATATCAGGAGGAGCAGTAACAACAGCAGACCCCATTAGCTTCCTATAAAAAGAGACAAATTCATTTACAATCCCTTCACCATCAGTGATTCTATCTCCATTAGTGTTATATAGAACCATCACTATATTGTTGTGCTTGTTGCTTTTTGTAATTGCATGAAACAAACTGGTGCCCCTATCACCCTGTAAACTCCAGGCTATTCTAGCCTTTTGTTGATAAAAAGATAGTTCACAGTCCAATAGTCTCTTATAGGAAGATAAACAATCCTTTTCCTGGTTTACAAGAGAAGAATTGAAAGGATCAGCTTGGAGATTCCTCTGTATTTCTTCTAATGCAACTCTGACTCTTTGGACTTGTTCAGTGATATTATAAAAGTGCTTCTTATTTAACTCCTTCAAATTACCCTTAAGCAATTTAAGTTTAGTGCAGACTGAGAACATTTTGTATCCTTCAACAGTAGACTGCCAAGTTTTTGAAACTATGGGAATGAAGCTAGGATGCTTTGTCCACATTTTGAAAAATTTAAAAGGCTTTTTCCCTTGAACACAATCATCATAAATTGAGACAAAAGCAGGAGAATGGTCAGATAAACCTGGCTGCAGAAATTCAACATGGCTAGAATTATACAAATTGATCCATGAGCCATTAACCAAAGCCCTGTCAAGCCTACACCAAATTCTTGAACCAGATTCATGTTTATTGCTCCAAGTATAAAAGCAACCCAGAGTTTTCAGGTGGCTGAGCTGACAATCTTCAATGAAGGACTTGAAATCATTTGTATCAGCTGTAGTTAAAGCAACCCCACCCAACTTTTCTTCATTGTTAATCATTGTGTTAAAATCTCCACACAGGAGCCAAGGAGAATTCCCCAAATTTTGGTGAAGATAGCAGAGATCAAGCCACAAATCTTGCCTAGCCTCCAAATGATTGAAGCCATATATAGAAGAAATGAAACAATCTAATTTCCCATCAACAGATTTTACTAAGCAAGTGATATGCTGTTGAGAAATTTTTACTACTTGAACATCCAAAATATAGGGATCCCACATAACAAGGATTCTGGCTTTACCTGAATTCCCTACATTAGATAGCCACTGCCAATTTTTCTCAATTTTCTTTGCAGTGATAGACAAATTTGCATCCTTGACTTTAGTTTCAAGAAGAGCAAGAAAAGAAAGATGATATTGCAACAAATGATGTTTAACCAAACGTTGCTTAGAGGATTTGTTTAATCCTTTAATATTCCAAAATGACAAGTTCATTCTAATTGAGTTTTAGAATCAAGGGAAATTGTATTTAGGCTCAAACTGTGTGTCAAAGAGTTTTGGTCTACTCTAGTCTCTAGTTCTTATGAAACATTTTTTTATTTCTAGGAAGTCTATTTGCTTCAGAAAAGGTTTTATTTGTACTTTTGCATTGTTTTACACCCTATGTAAGGGGAACAAAATTTTGAAAATCTTTAGAAGAATTATTATTATTATTTTAGGAAGTTTTCTATTCCTATGGTTTTCTAGGGTTTGTGTCATTTTACTCATACGAGAACAAGTAGTTATCTCTTTTGATTATGTTTTCGCTACATTACTCTTTTATATAGTTTATTTTATTTTAAAACCTTTTTATGCTCATAGTATAACAAATCATGGTTTTCATTATTTATGATACCTTCATTTAATTCTCTTGCTCATTTATGATTTTAGTCTCATCTCAATTTGACAGTCAACGTACGTTCTAAAAATAGTATCCATTAATTTATTATTAGTAGATATAAACACTTCGGTCCCGTTTGGCAAAGGGTTAAGGAAGAAGGGTTAAAGAGAAGGATTAATATACTTAGCCCATTCGATAATCTGAATGACTAAATTATTAACCCGTTAAATAAGTTTTATTTTAGCTTTTGTGATCAGTTTTAGTGTTTGGGAATAACAATTATTTTCTTTATAATTAGAAGGGTTAACTCTTAATCCTTCTAAATAGGAGTATTAGTAAACCGCTTATTTTGAGGGGTTAACTCATTTTATTACCTCTAGAGGGATTAACTTAACCCTTCTATATATTTTTTATGTTCGACAAATTATGGTGAGTTAACTCACTTTAACCATTGTATAGATTTTTTGTATTTGACGGGTTAAGAAGGGGTTAAGTCTCCTTAACCCCTCATTTAACCCTTTGCCAAACGGTACTGTAGGCTGTCTAAAAATCACAATAGATAGTTGATTCCCCATCAAACACCGATGATGGAAGTTACAATCTGACGACTTCTAGAAGGCTACAATTTGAAGACTTTCACGTAGATCGATAAAGGTTACAATCTGACGACCTTCATAACAACTGATGAAAGCTTCACGTAGATCGATAAAGGTTACAATCTGACGACCTTCATAACAACTGATGAAAGCTCTAATCAACAGCCTTCAATTAACATCGAGTGTTACAATCTGACGACTCTCACATATCAAAGAGCTAAAGCAAAGATTACAAAATGACGATCTTTGCAACGCTCTGACAGAAAGAGACTACAAATCGACGGTCTTTTCAAACCAAGACGTGGAAGTCCTCCCCGCGAACCAGCATCAAGACGCACCATGTTCATAGCCACGAACGCAGCTCAAGTGCAGCCTCCAAAGCTGCCAACAAAGTTTCTATCCGCTGCCAAACGCAGCTCTTAAATCCTGCCAACGCAGCTTCTAACAAGCTGCCAACGCAGCTTCCAAGCCGCCAAACGCAACTTCCAACAAGATGCCAACGCAGCTTCCAGTCGCTGCGTCCGAGCTTTCAGACACTGCGTTCAAGCTTCCAGACACTGCGTTTGAACGCAGAATTCACACCAGAACGCGAATTTTGCGTTTGACAGCTGAACGGTTTCAAAACCGTTTCCCACGATCTGAGGGGATCACAACTCCACTCAGGAGTGATTTAAGGGGCGGTTACATACCATTAGCCCCACTTAGGAGCGAATTAAGGAGGTGGTTACACCCCTTAATCCCCTATAAATAACTAAAAATCAATTCAGTTCAGGGGGGGTCTGTTGGAACTTCTTGGCAGCAACGGAAGAGATCCTTGGGCAGGCTTTTGAGGAGATCGACGTCATCCCTTAGCAACGTTCGGTAACAGGAGATTTCTTCATCCTTGGCTTATAGACCGATTTCGGTTAAATCAACTCTTTCATAGAGTTTCAAACTCGTTCAGAGTTCTCCACAACGTTAAATCGTGAGGAGAAGATCATGTTCCAGTGAAACAAGACGTCGGATCGTCAACGAGAAGCAAACTCGACGCGAGCATTCGAGGGAGGCATCTCATCGCCACCGTGAAGAACCCAGAATTAAACAAATGTGAGAATCAAATTCATTCTCCTCTTTTTTGTAATCAGGAAATCCAATTGTAACTAAGATTAAAGGAATACAGATCAATTTTCCTTCATTTCTTTTTACTTCAAATTTTCCACAAACAGGTACCTTCACATCTAATCACTAATCTACCCTCTCTATAAAAACTGAAATTTAACAAATTAAAGAGGGACACATAACGATTTTATCAGAGTACAGCTTATAATACATCCCCAATATTCTTCCTTTATATAAAGAGCGGAATAATATTTATAATCCTCGGCATAACTTTTTAGAGCGCAAGCGATATACAACCATTAAAATCATAACATTACAATATAATTGATACAACAACGTGGTAATACTAGTCCCATGCATGGGGAAAATTACATATATGATATGGGGAAAATTACATATATGATCATTTCTTATTGCAGATAATTAAACCATAGGCCAGTTTGGTACGTATGTGGCGCTCATACCGGCATCTTCTTAAACTTCATAGACCGTCTCCGATTACATATCCAACAGACGTTTCCTGGGTATAGCCTTCAACGGATCAGCTCGTGGCAGAGTGAATCCATAAGCTTCTTTCATATCCAACTTCTGTACTCCATCAGGAAGCTCCCAATCAAAGCAATGAATCATCTGAGCTATTATCAACGGAGTCCAAATCAAAGCAAGCTGCATCCCTGCGCACATTCTCCGTCCCGACCCAAACGAAAGCAGTCGAAAGTCTCCCCTGAATTCGATGTTGTTATCGATGAACCTCTCAGGCCTGAACTCCTCTGGGTTATCCCACACTGCAGGGTCTCTGCCTATCGACCACAGACTGATCATCACGTTGGCACCCTTCGGTATGCGATACCCGTTGACGACGCATTCTTCGGTTCCGTGGTGGAACATGAATCCTGAGAGGGGGTGGAACCTCAGGGTCTCCTTCAGGACCATGTGCAGGTATTCGAGTTTCGGTAAGTCAGTTTCTTCGACTTTTCGGTGGAGGCCCACGACGGTTTCGAGTTCTTTTTGGGCCTTTCGCATGATCCGTGGGTGCTTGATGAGCTCAGCTAGGGCCCATTCGGCTGGTATGCGCGAGGGGGTGGAACCTCAGGGTCTCCTTCAGGACCATGTGCAGGTATTCGAGTTTCGGTAAGTCAGTTTCTTCGACTTTTCGGTGGAGGCCCACGACGGTTTCGAGTTCTTTTTGGGCCTTTCGCATGATCCGTGGGTGCTTGATGAGCTCAGCTAGGGCCCATTCGGCTGGTATGCGCATCGTGTCCATGGAAGCCTCTAGCATGTCCTTTGGTAAACGAACATGAGGAGAGAGTAAATGAGCACGAGATGAAACGCAATGATGTACGTTATTGTTAAAAACAAAGGGGATTATGCTGCCTCTTCTATATTTCAACTTGTACCATTTGGAGGAAAGAAATTATTTTCACCTTTGACTAGTCATAGGATTTTATTAATTTAGTCATCTTGTGAATATATGTACAAGTCAATAGTCATCTTGTAAGTATGTATACAAGTCAAAGTACCTCAACTTTGTCTTCTCCCCATGTATAAGACTTAATAAATGGGTCAACTCTTTAAAGTCTGATCGAGACCGAACCTGACCAAGTTAAAATTAATTATTGTACTTACGAACACGACGGCCTTGACGGTGAGGCGATCAAACGTGACCCCATCAGCCTCCCCTTCAGTCTCCATCAACTCCAACAAAACATCCACGAAATCCTTCATCTCCCCTTCCCCCTTCTTCTCAGCCTTCTGATGCTCGTCCACAATCTTTTCCAGCAACTCGTCGAACTCAAGGTGCAGCTTATGCAACCTCTTGCTGTACCCCTGCACGTCGAATGGCTTAAGCAGCGGAATGAAGTCATTAACATTGAAACACCCGAGCAAAGCCATAAGCTCCTTAGTGCACGCCCTGAACTTATCCCCCTCCTCATCCCCAGCCTCGTACCTCCTCCCCACGATCGTTCTCGACACCACATCATGCACCAGGTCCCACAGGAGCGTCTGCAAATTCACCGCCGACCGCGTCTCGCTCGCGGCCGCCAGGGTCTGGACGAACCGGTCGATCTCCTCTGTCCGCACCGCCCGCTGGGAGGCGATCTTTGGGCCGCTGAGGATGTGGGTGATGCAGAGCTTGCGGACGCGGCGCCAGTAGTCGCCGTAGGGGGTGAAGGCGAAGCCCTTGAGGCCGTGGGAGGCCGGTGGGGCCCGGGGGGAGAGGCGGAGACCTGCGTCGACGAGAGAGGAAGAGGGCTGCGGTGAGGAGGAGGAGGGCGAGGAGGAGACAGAGGGAGGGAAACATTTTTGTGCCTATGCAGTGTGGGGTTTGGTTCGCTGAATGATTGTTGTGCCCTAGCTTTAGGTAAAGTCCCAGTCTCCCATGTATATATAATCATTCATATTTTGAATTTTCCCAACCCCCCCACCCCTAAGTGATATTTTGCAAGTTATCATGACATATTGAATTCTAAAAAGGCAACGGTCATGTCACGCTGTTTTTCCGAAAGCGGTCAGTTGAGAATATATATGTGGTGCATGGTCTTTCGGAGGCCGGTGCGTTTCGCAAAAGTTCATTTATGATAAAAAGTCTAGGAGAGAGTAATATGATTGTCAACCTGTACGAGTTTGTATTAAAGTGTTGGGGGAATTTCCCTCTCTCCGCCTACTACAATAAGCGTAATTCCGAAGACAACCCACAATCAACAAAATATAAAACGATCACAATTAAGAAAAAAAGAACACCGAGATTTACGTAGTTCGGTCGACCAAATTCGACCTACTTCCACAGGAAACAATATGAGAAATCCACTATGTATCAGGGAGAATTACAAGAGGAACCACTCAACTCTCGTCTCTCAATCTCTCAAACTCACATGCATGATCAACTCTCATATTATCTCCAAATCTCACTCCTTATAATCTTTTACACGTATAAAGATCACGAAACTCTCGTCTCTAGCACAATATTCTTGAATCAGGCTACGCCCTCTGCTAACCCTAGATTACACGAATATTGGTTCTTTCTCTATACTACATCTTCTCTCTACTCACTTCTTCTTAGTTTTTCCTCCAACAATAGAAGAATATATATAAGGAAACCAAAACCTTATCTCTAGTCTAACTTCCTAATTAGAATAGGATTCAAACTCCTAATCATGATAGATCTCTAAACCTATCTAATTCTCATAAAGTTTTACAAAGAATCAAAGACACAATCCTAATAATATCCACCTTGGATTTGATTCCCAAACTCCCTTAAAGATATATCATCGTCGTCTTGAAACTTTGCCTCTCCAGCTAGAGTCTTCTATTTATTTCACACTTCAAAAATCGAAGTAGCCACACTCCTAATCAGAACACCTGCACTCCAACTGGTTGTCTCGTGACCCTCACTATCATCTGCTTCACCGTGGTGCCTCCACCTCTCTTGTGTGCACCAAGTGATCTTCTCTACCTCTTATATTAGAAACAAATCAACCATGCTTATTCTCCCAACTTGAGCCTGACAATAGCCTCCCCCTACTTTTTTTCCTTGTGCTCCACCTGCATCGCTAGTCTCGAATCATATCGGTGCACCTCTCCTATTCCACATTATGAGTCGGATGCCTCTATCTCCTCCATCACTTGGCTTGGACCGAATATGAGCGATCATCGTCTTCAAGTCCAATGTCACCATCTTCATCAACTTGTGTATCACTCAATCGTACTTGCTTGCAAACTCCACCTAATTTGGTACTACCGTCCTCGAGTCTACATACCAATCAACTCCTATTCCCGTGATGGCTCTGAATAATTATATATTGATAACTCTACTGTTAGGATCACATCAGATTATTTATACTAGTCTCATCTGTCACATACTCGTTTGCCTAATCAGCCATCAAATCTGTCTTGCCGTTGAATAGCGAAATATCAAACCTCGGGCCCGTAGAAGTCATCATTCTCTAACCATGATCAAAATTCAAATCACCTACCATAGAGATTGAATTTAATAAAAATAATACCAAAAACGAACTCAGCACATCGAAAAATCCTAGGAACGACTCCTGGATCATCAAAATCCGCCTCCAAATCCTCGATCAAAAGAAAAATCAATATCAACCGTTAGACCTGTGTGAACAGTACCCGCCGTGTCACTACAGTGTTCCTGCTAGAGTATCCATCTTCAGTTCTCGGCCACTACATTATGCCGTTCTTATAACGTTGATCTTCAATCTTGCACGACGTCATCTTCTATCTTGCGAATTCGCTCCCAGATCCATCAACATAGCTCTGATAGCACTTGTTGGGGAATTTTACTCTCCCTGCCTACTACAATATGTGCAACTCCAATGCTAACCCATAATCAACGTGATATAAAACGATCACAATCAAGAAAAAAGAACATCGGGATTTAGGTAGTTCAGTCGACCTACGTCCACGAGCAACAACACAAGAAATCCACTATGTATCAAGGAGAACTACAAGAGGAATCACTCAACTCTCATCTCTCAACCTCATATACATAATCAACTTTCATATTATCTCCAAAGCCCATGCTTTGTAATCTTTTGCACGGATAAATATCACGAAACCCTCGCCTCTCGTACAATATTCTTGAATCAGGCTACGCCCTCTGTCAGCCCTAGACTACAAGAATATTAGTTCTCTCTCTACTACATTTTCTTCATACTCTCTTCTTCTTAGTTTTTCTTCTAACAATAGAAGAATATATATAGGGAAATCAAAACTCTATATCTAGCCTAACTTCCTAATTAGAATAGGATTCAAACTCCTAATCATGATGGAACCCAAACTCCTAATCATGATAGATCTCTAACTCTATATAATTCTTATGAAGTTCTACAAAGAATCAAAGACACAATCCCAACATAAAGACATTGGCAACTTTTCGTAGAGCAAATATGGTGATTAATGCAAAGATTGTCGAGGTTTTGTTCACAAGTGCCCTAGAGGCACTTGTTAAGGGACATTAGTTGTTGGCCTCATGTTTATGAGCATACTTCCTAATATTATTTTGATGATTACAAATAATTCTTAAAGTTGTTTGTCTAGTGTTTATGTTTTCTTATTAGGTATTCTAGACAAACAATATGATTGGAGGTTGGATGGAATTGCGTCATAACGATTATATCCGATACAGGGTGGCAGAATAGTGGAGTGAAACAATGCAATTCAAGTCAAAAATTCAATTTCAAGCGTTATCCATGTTACCAAGATCGAGCGTCATGAAGATCATTTCCTGGTATATTAGTTTAGGTGTTTATACTTGTGTATTAATATTGTATGTTGGAAAAATTGCAATGAAGAGAACAAAAGAAAATTGACTTGTATTTCTTTGATTCCGGTTACAATTTGATTACAAAAGAGAAGAGAACGAATTTGGTTCTCCCCTTTGTTTAAATTACAAAAGAGAAGAGAACGAATTTGGTTCTCCCCTTTGTTTAAAACTGGGTTCTTCTCAGTAGCGATGCAGTGCCTCCTTCGATTGTTCGCGTCGAATTTTCTCTACGTTGACGATCCGACCGTCTTTTATCTCGTAGGAATGATGAACTTCTGTGGAAAGTTTTATGGATAACTCTTTAATGAGTTTAAGAACTCTGAGCGAGTTAGAACTCTGTGAAGAGAGTTGTTAGAACCAAAAATTCGGTTAATGACCAAGCAGATTTTCTGTTGTTGAAGAATCCTCTTAGATTTGATCTTCTGAATTTGTTTCAAATCTTCTATCTCCAAGGGATTCGCCCCTCCTGCCTTTCTGTGCAGTTGAGATCCTCCAGAATCCTCTCTGCTACTGCCTCTCCGTTTTCAAAAAGCCAGCCCTTAACTCAGTTGAGTTTGTTGAGTTTTTATAGGTGGATAAGAGGTTGTAACTGCCCTCTAAATCCACTCCTAAGTGGGCGTGATTTTCTTAGATCGTGGGGAAACAGTTCTAAAACCGTTCGACTCGTATTTGAACGAGTCAAACGCCCAATCTGGCGTTCAGAACCCAACGTCGTCTCTTAGAATTGAAACGCGAGGTTGGGTGTTGGCTGAACATCAATGAACGCGAGGGTCGCTCACGTTTTGGTTTGTGGTCGCTTGGGAACGCGGAGGTCGGTGTTGGTTGAACCTCCGGAACGCGATGGTCGCTCGCGTTTTGCTTATTATAGCTAGGAAACGCGAGGGTCGCCTGCATTTCCAAAATTATGACGCGGGGATGACTTCCGCATTTTAGAAGGGGTTAGTTGATCTGTAACCTCTTCTATAGAGCGTTGCAAGGACCGTTGTTCAGTAATCCTAGCTTTAGCTGTTGTGGGGTGTGAAAGTTGTCAGATTGTAACTTTCACTGTAGATTGTGGAGACTGCTGAATAGAGTTTTCATCAGTTGTCGGAAGCATCGTTGGATTGTAACTCTTCTCGATCTATGTGAAAAGTCCTCCATTTGCAGCTTCGGCATGAAAGCTATCTGATTGTAGCTTTCATTGTTGGAACTTGACGGGAATCAATCATCCATAGTGATTTTTAGACGAATATTTGCCCACAGCTCTCTACCAAGCAACTCACCAACTAAGTTTAACCTTTTATTTCTGAAATCATTACACTGCTCATCAGCATCTCTAATAGTTGCTAATATAATATTAGTCATGCTGTTGTCGCAGCCATCAAGATCAATCATCTCAAATATGAGGCCGTATTTGTAGTGACTGTTGAGTTGCGGATACAGTGATTAGAAAGTCGTCTGATTGTAACTTCCGTTGTCGGGGCTTGTTAGGGATTAGCTATCCATTGGGATTTTTAGACAGCCTACAAATACTTCAAGCAGCTCAATTATACACACACACACATATTTATTGATTTTATCAAAATATAGATGTTTTTATGAAAATATTATGTTATTGGTTTATGGACTTAACAATCATTATATACATCTTTTATTAAGTCTATAAAATCATTTTATAATGTTACAAAACTTTTTTAAGTCAAAAAAAAAAATCAAGTGTTTATACAAACATGTATTTGTGTATTTTTGCAAAATGATGAGATTTTATAAATGGGAAGTGCAATTCCAAAAATACTTTTTGTAACATGTTTATTATCAGTTTTACAATCATTTCCTAAAGTTTTACAATTTTTAGATTTTACTTGCTATTTTTAAATGTAGTTTAAAAATTGGTTTTACTATTCATTACAGGTTGATATTATGTTATCAGTCGACTGATGCAAGTGTTCAGTCGACTGAAGAAATCGCCTGGAATTGCAAAAAAAATCTTTTTTTATTCAGTCAATTGATCAGCCGATTGAAGAGGTCATCGGTCAACTAACGAGTTCATCAGTCAACTGATGAGGTGTTTGTTGGCCTGTAACGGTCAGCTCATCAGTTGACTGATGAACAGATCAGTCGACTGACGGCCTCATAACGACTAGTTTTCCAGTTTGCTGAGTTTCCGTTATTTTGTCTTTTTGCTTGGTTTTTCTTAGTTTTTGGGTTTTGTCTTATGATCCTATATATACCCCTTGCCCTCTAACATTCTAAAATAATCAAGAGTGTTTAAAAACAAGTTTTACAATGGTTTTAAGTTTTGTTTAAAAGTGTTTAAAGTTTTTGTATAAGTTTGTGAAGAAATTTTCACAAGAGCAAGAAGAGATCATCATTTGGTGTTTGAGCTTCAACTCATCTCTCTCTCTTGTCATTCATTGGAGAAGTTTTCTAAACTCAAACTCTAGCTTTACATTTATATACTTATTTGATTAATTATCATTGTTTTTAAGCTAGATTTTATATTTGAGTTTAGTTTCGATTTATTCTCTTTGTTTAGACTGTGAGCTTTCATTATGTTGTCATCCATAGTAGAGAACAAACATTTGTTGTATTGAGCGTTAATTTGTGAGGTTCACTTTGTATTACACAAATACACCAAGAGGAGTGTAGAGGTGAGAGACGTGGTCGGTCCCAAGAGGAGTGGCGTATGTAGTCAAGCCTAGTGAGAGGTAATAATTCTGAGTACTTGAGAGAGACATGTGAAAGGCCAACACTTGAGGTGGCAGTTATGTAGTTACATTATGAGTGATTATGAACGTTGATCGGTGAGCGTTAAAAACCGATATTATATGGTGTAAACATTATTTGGGTGAACGTTGAAAACCCGATTGTGTAGTGAATTTCTCCCCGGGAGTGGGGAGCGGAGACGTAGGACGAAAGGTCCGAACTCCGTGATCATTTGTTTGTGTTTGAGTTTGCTTTGATGTTTCATTTGTGTTTAGTGTTCATTGCATTCTTGTCGCCATTGTCAATTGCTCTTTGTTTATATTATCCACTATCTTGTTTATATTGCTTTGTGTTTATATCACCCTTAGTGTCATATCCTTACATATTAAGTGTTGCATATCTAATTTGCTAGGATATTTGTTAATTAGTTTTTATTGGTATTAAATCGGATTAGATTAGCATAAATCATATTCACCCCCCTCTAGGGTTCTTTCCTAGTGATATTTGGGCTAAAAATTAGTATCAGAGCTTGGTACTCTTTGATTTAAGATCTAATCGTCTTGAGTTAAATATCCAAGTTATTTTATTGTGCTAATCTAGTTTTGATTGTATTTATCTTGCTTGCATATAATTATAATTATGGATATGAATGGTGCATCTTGTTTAGGCTATGATCCTAATGTTGCTTCAAAATATAGAAACTTCCTTTATGATCAATGGTGCTTTAGATTTAAAATATTTGTTCAATCTAAAAATATCAATTTGTGAGAAGTTATTGATTATGCTTGCATTGTGCCCACTTTGAAAAAATTCAAGTGGAGCAATCATGATAAAAAAATATTTACAATAAACAAGTTAGTGTTAGAATTCTTGCATAATGCTTTTGAACCATGTATTTCTAACGAACTTGCTTATTTTGATAGTGCTTACACGATTTGAAAACTTTTTGAAGTACATCAAGGAGACTTGAAGGAGATTCGCCGCATTGTGGCGGAATCGATTTCAAGTGACAGTGGATAAGAGCCAGCCCTTAACTCAGTTGAGTTTGTTGAGTTTTTATAGGTGGATAAGAGGTTGTAACTGCCCTCTAAATCCGCTCCTAAGTGGGCGTGATTTCCTTAGATCGTGGGGAAACAGTTCTGAAACCGTTCGACTCGTATTTGAACGAGTCAAACGCCCAATCTGGCGTTCAGAACCCAACGTCGCCTCTTAGAATTGAAACGCGAGGTTGGGTGTTGGCTGAACATCAATGAACGCGAGGGTCGCTCGCGTTTTGGTTTGTGGTCGCTTGGGAACACGGGGGTCGGTGTTGGTTGAACCTCCGGAACGCGATGGTCGCTCACGTTTGGCTTAATATAGCTAGGAAACGCGGGGGTCGCCTGCATTTCCAAAATTATGACGCGGGGATGACTTCCGCATTTTAAAAGGGGTTAGTTGATCTGTAACCTCTTCTATAGAGCGTTGTAAGGACCGTTGTTCAGTAATCCTAGCTTTAGCTATTGTGGGGTGTGAAAGTCGTCAGATTGTAACTTTCACTGTAGATTGTGGAGACTGCTGAATAGAGTTTTCATCAGTTGTCGGAAGCGTCGTTGGATTGTAACTCTTCTCGATCTATGTGAAAAGTCTTCCATTTGCAGCTTCGGCATGAAAGCTATCTGATTGTAGCTTTCATTGTTGGAACTTGACGGGAATCAATCATCCATAGTGATTTTTAGACGAATATTTACCCACAGCTCTCTACCAAGCAACTCACCAACTAAGTCCAACCTTTTATTTCTGAAATCATTACACTGCTCATCAGCATCTCTAATAGTTGCTAATATAATATTAGTCATGTTGTTGTCGCAGCCATCAAGATCAATCATCTCAAATATGAGGCCGTATTTGTAGCGACTGTTGAGTTGCGGATACAGTGATTAGAAAGTCGTCTGATTGTAACTTCCGTTGTCGGGGCTTGTTAGGGATTAGCTATCCATTGGCATTTTTAGACAGCCTACAGAACCCCCTCCAAAGTTTTCGAAAGTTCGCGGTTGACTGCGATGAATTTTCGGAATACTTTGGATCCCAAAATTTAGTAGATTAATTGTTCGCTCTGTCTAATTTGAAAACATCGCGAAACTGGTTGTCGGAATGTTGAAATGTTGATTCCTCGAACCAAACGAAACAGCTTTTGAGCCTTGATGATAATGAAGAATGAGGTGCGCTCCAAATTGAATCCGATGGTTTTAGCGTTGCTGATTGTAATCTGCATGCACCCATCTGATAGACTCCCCAGTGGAGTCGCCTGTTTCTTCTCTATTTTGGTCATCTTGATGGTTGTCGTATCTCTTGTCGATCATTACGCGTGGGTGAACTCAGTGCTTGAGAGTTTGAACGCGTAGGTGAGCCTTGCGTTTTGGAATTCCAACCAACTCGAACGCTAGGGTCGAGTTTGGGTGGGATTCTGGCCTCGAATCCCGTCCGTTACGATTTGACAACTCACAGCTGTCTATAAATAGACCGCTGGAGGTCAAATCAAGAGTCATTCGACTCTTCTTGAAACATTGACGAAAATTTTCGTTTTCATCTCCGGCGAACACCGTTCATCTCCTCCGACTAGGCTCCATGGCACCCAAGAAGGTTGTCCCTCATCCCTCCAAGTCCGATGTTGTCGCGGCTCAGGGGTCGGCGCCGTCTGTGCCGGCCGGCGGCGCTGCTGCTCAGGCGAACGTGTCGTCCCAGCTTCCTCTGATCGGCGGTGAGTACGGCCTTCGTGGTCATTAAACTTGCTTTGACAAGTTTTGATCTTTGGATCAACGAGGAAACTCGTTTCGATAACGCGGGGCTGGACTCCGTCGTTTAGTATTTTTGACGAGGGGTTCGACCTCCGCGTCTTGAATTCTTGACACGAGGTTCGATCTTTGCGTCTGAGATTTTCGAGGCGAGGTTCGACCTTCGCGTCTGAGATTTTCGACGCGAGGTTCGACCTTCGCGTCTGAGCTTTGTTTTTAAGTTGTCTAACTTTTTTCTTCATTTTGCAGTGCGTCATACCAGCGAGCCTCTTCCTTTTCGCCACCATTTTGGGCATGAAGGTGGTGTGGATTCGAATATGACCTTCAACCTGCGCCAAGAACTCCCAGTTTTCCGAATTAAGGAAAAGAGCCGCGTGGAACTAATCACCCAAGCTTCTCCTAAGACCCTTAGGATATTGGTCACGGATGCCCGACTTGAAAATCCGAGCCGTAAGCCAATAGTCAAACCTGGATTCCTCTTCGGGGATTTTGTTGACTTCGAGACCAGCGCTACTTATGATGGGGACTACAAGTGGCTGCGGAAAGTTGGGGACCGCAACCTCTTTTTGCCCAATATGGAAAGCATGTTCCCCATATCCTACTTCCAGTATGCTTCCATCCCAAGGCGTATGGATTGGCCTCTGGTTAAGGATCAGGATGGAGTCATTCTTGGGACCCTTGGTTAAGGATCAGGATGGAGTCATTCTTGGGACCCTAACTTTTCAAGGGGTCCGCACACTTGGTTACAACAGGCAGGTGACAGCTTTACGGCCAGGTCACACTTGGTTACAACAGGCAGGTGACAGCTTTACGGCCAGGTTTATTCGCTAAGGAATATCCCGTCGGTAAAGTGGCCAGTCTGACGAACACCTTTGTCAAGAAATTTCTGGCAAAGAAAGGAGAATTTTCCGCGCAAGGATTTAGAACTCTTGGCTGGGTTCATTCTCCGGTGACGGGGTGGTGGACCCGGATGACCAAGTTTGTTTTGGAGGAATTGGAAGCCCCTCTTGCTCGAGCTGGATTGTAGATTCCCGTACGGGCTACTAAGTTCAGGATTATCCAGAGCCACTTTCATTTCTTCTCCATATTGGAGAAGTATAATCCTGAGACTTGTACTTTCTTCACCCACATGGGAGAGTTAGGCTTCGCTCTCCACGAGATGCATGAAGTCTCAGGTCTTCTTCTTGGGGATTTACCGTATGAAGAATTTGTTCCGGGATCAGCGGAACTTAAAATCTTAAAGAGGACCAGCCCCGAAGTTTATGCTACTCTTTGGGAAGTCATGTGTCACTTCCACATTTGCATGCAGCAGACGGGGGCCCGAGGAAGCGGCATTAAACAAGTGTCTTGGGCGGAATATTTATTCCAGAACTTGACCAATGGCCTCAGTGACCAGATTACCTGCAAGCACTTTGGAGGAGGTTCAGGCCCGAATCGATGATGCTACCTCCCACTATACCAATGAGGCCAAGGAAGATGTTTTCCCAGCTCATACGGAGTTTGAGAGCTTCCATTATCAAGCTCTAATTCCGATTTCTGACACGGCGCTGTTAGCTGGATTCTTGATACTGTGGCTCAAGCGTTGCGTCGTTCCTACCAGGCCGATTGATGCCCTCGCTGTTGAAGTGGTATACCCGGCTGTTCTTTTGGCTCATGGGAGACCTGTAAGCCTCCTCAATGCCATGGTGGGTTGCTTGCAGAATGGGCTGCGTGAATTGGCCTTGGATTTTAATGATGTCACCGAGCTGGAGTCTGGAAGACACAAAGTTTTCAAAACTCCTAATCCCAGGGTGCCACTGCCATATACCTATTTGATGGCTTGGTACATGCTTCACTGCCCTCCCATAATGAGTGCAGCCTCTCCCCCGGGAGACTTATTTACCCCATTTGTGCAATGATTAGAATCTACAAAATGGGAAGGAGGTTATATGGTTAGGATTCGCCAACTCTTGTCGCGAGACACCCACTACCATATCTTCCGTTGTTTCCCTGATTTTGAGGGCGGCGTCTACGGAGCGGAATATCAAGACGCAGCAGGTCTTAATGGATTCACTCAGCTAAGCGGGGGTGTTTTCCATTGTCTTCTCTCTATCAGGCCAGGCTACTTGATCTTCCGGCAAGGCGCCAGCTGTTTCATTGAGCCCTACCAACCCTATAGGTTCACTCGCCAATTTGGGTATGATCAGTTGTACGTCGGGAACCCTCGTCCTCAACTCTCAGTTGTGGGCAATTTATATGAAGGAGCCAGGGCTTGGTATTATTCTGTGGCAGGTTGTACCAAGGCCATCTTCAGGCTTCCCCACAAAACACCCAACTCCTACACTTCCATAAGCTTCTGTAATTGGTATTTCGCCGCTTCTCAGACTCCCAATTACAACTTGAATACATCTTGCCTAAAGGACATCAGGCATATGTATGCTTCGAGAAGGGGGTCAAAGACATCTCGTTTGAGAGGGATCGATGAATTTCTATCTATCGAGAACCAGCCTGCTGGACAGGAAGAGGAACAAAGAGCTGAGCCTATTCCAGTGGAAGAGCAACAAGCGGTTGATCCCCCCAAGAGCTGAGCCTATTCCAGTGGAAGAGCAACAAGCGGTTGATCCCCCCACGACAAGAGCAGCTGGGAAAAGAAAACTCTCAGCGGATGAAGCCGGAAAATATGATAAACAGATCCGTCAGAAGTTGCTGGTTGATTCCCCTCCCCCCAAAGGCCAACAAAAATCTAAGTTGATGGCTGATGCCATCAGCCCCAAAGGCCAACAAAAATCTAAGTTGATGGCTGATGCCATCAGAGCTGCTGAAGATGAAGAACAACATGAATCTTCTGTTGCAGGCCTGCCACATAGAACTGGACTTCGTTCTCATGGCCCAGCCCTATCGAGCGACGCTTCTTCTTACCATCCCCCCCAAGATGAAGAGGGTGAATTAATGGTTGCAGATGCAGAATCTGCTCTAGTGATGGACCTTCCTAAGTCTCCTGCATTAGAACCAGGGGGTCTCAAAGAGAATCCATCCCCTTCTCCTTCAGCCTTAATGTCACAAGCTAATAATTCAATTCCTAGTCCTACAACAGGACTTATGAATAAACCAGCTGCTGGCACAGATCTTCTTGAACCTTCAGCTGCTCAGGATGATGAGGAGCGAGTTGATTATGAAGGCTCCTCAATTGGTGATGCAGCTGACGAAGATAGAGATGATGAGGATGCTGACGTTGGTAACATGCCAGGTGATGACGCGGGGGACGAAGAGCATAATTCTATGGATGACATAACCATTTTGATGATGCTCCCAAGGTCCCATCCGATAAAGCATCTGGTTATACTCATTTTCACATCTCCGGTAAGCCTAGTTTTCTTCGAATTCTTCCGCATGTTCTTTTCGTGTTCCAACCCTTTTTTCGTGCAGGTTCGCCTCCTACCAGGACTACTGCTGCTACTACTTCAGAGCAGGATCCTGCGCAAGTGTCAGCTCCTCCACAAGAGCAACACTTGCCTGGCTCATCCACAGTGGCTGTTTCACCGACAACACTGCCCGGGGCTACTACTGTAACTCCTCCTCCTGAACAGCAGGTCGTGCAGGTGTCAGCTCCTGTGCAAGAGCAGCCTCTGCTTGCTTCGTCCACTGTAGCTGCTTCACCTACCGCGTTAATGAAGATCTCACTTACACCAACAGAGGCGAGGCCCAGCACGTCTCAGGCAAGGGTAATGATGACTTTGACCTCGAGCCCATCACAATTGAATGTTTCTACCGCTTCTGCAGCTTCAGCGCCCGGATCCCCTGCACCAATTTCAATGGCTCTGGGAGCATCCTCAAGTCTCGCGGGCGTACCTGAGTTCCTTTAAATCTCCTTAGTGTATTTGAATAGCCTCGCAAAGATGGTGATTGAATATGTGGTGAGTGGTCAGGGAACTTTCAATTCCTTCCGACCTCTTCTGGAAGCAGGCTTAAACGGAGTCAGAAGTGGGGGAAACACTCCGTGGTTCGAGCGCTGTTCTGAGATTATTCTTCGTTTGGAAGAACAATTGCAGCATTTTGAGGCCCTGGGTCGCAGAGAGCTTCAGCCAGAGATCGTGTCCACTTTGGCCAGTCTTCAGGTTGCAGAAGTGGCTCGCCGGGAGGCGATAGAACGGGACTTGGCTGAAAGAGAACGTCAAATCACGGAGCTTCGCGAGCGTAATATTCGGAAGCAAGAAGAGTTAGAACGCTCGACTACTTCCATGAATTCGCTTCGTGATAGACTTGTTGAAGCTGAGGCTGAAGTCCTGCGATTAAAGGCTGAACTTTCCCGAGAAGAAAATGTTGTCAATATTCTTAGCTCCCAAAGCGCTACCGGTGCTTTGGAATATCATACGTAGGCTTGAGCTTTGGAACAAGCCAGGAATGAAGCAGCGGCTATCATCACACCCAGTGAGGAAGAACTCCGGGCAAAGGCTGAAGCCATGGTGCGAACCACCCACGAGGAAGAGCTAAATGAAGTTAGGACCCAACTTATTTCTTTTGATTTGATGCATGAGTGAATTTTGCACTTGTAATGTTCTTTTAACAAGAACAAGTTTGCCTTGTATCACTTTCTTTTGATTTTTGAATAAAAAGTGATATTGATTCCTCATTGTTTCTTGCATTTATCGTGTTTTGATTTTAAGCAACAAATCAAGAGAAATACCTAAGATGTATTCCCGATTTAGAATATATCTCCACAATGGTTCTGGTGCAGAAAAACTCTCTTTATTATCGTTTAAGATAACTACAAAAAGTTTCAAACTGCTGAGGATTAATATTTTATTATTTTCCCGTAATGGGGCTGACTAGTAGAATTCTTTCTGTGTTAATTTTTGTTTGGAAAACTGAAAGAAGTCTATAAGTGCTAGAGGTATAGCTTTTTAACTTGGCAGAGGAAATATTGCAATCAGGGCAATTTTGAGGACTTATCGATCTATTGACGAGAATCGATAAGTTGATTTTACCAGAGGTGTGATTCTAACGTGACAGGAGAAATATTGCGATCAGGGCAATTTTGAGTACTTATCGTTCTATTGATGAGAATCGATAAGTTGATTTTGTCAGGGGTGTGATTTTAACGTGACAGCTGAAATATTGCGATCAGGGCAATTTTGAGGACTTATCGTTCTATTGATGAGAATCGATAAGTTGATTTTGTCAGAGGTGTGACATTAACGTGACATCTGAGATATTGCGATCAGGGCAATTTTGAGGACTTATCGCTCTATTGACGAGAATCGATAAGTTGATTTTATCAGAGGTGTGATATTAATGTGACATCTGAGATATTGCGATCAGGGCAATTTTGAGGGCTTATCGCTTTATTGACGAGAATCGATAAGTTGATTTTAGAGATTTATCGTTCTATTGATGAGAATCGATAAATGAACCTTCGCAGAGTGATTGTAGTCATATCGGTAGTGATAATAACTAAATTCAATCTCTGTCGGGGTGATGACCATCTGAGGTGTAATATTAACCTGATGAGTTAAGGAGATACAGAGTTTTAAAAGCACTTTGTTGAAAGAATCCATGAACTTAGAGGATAAGTATCAAGGGTAGATTCTTCATTTGGAAAAGTTACAACGCTAAGGTGACTCTTGCGTTTGAGGTACGAAACGCGAGGTTAAGAACCTTCATAACGCTGGTCTGAGCCTAGCGTTTGAACGCGGGTGTGAACTTCGCGTTGAGATTAAAGTCTTAACTAGCCTAGCGTTTGAACGCGGGTGTGAACTTCGCGTTGAGATTAAAGTCTTAACTGACTTTATCTAAAAACACGAAAGATTGCGTTTTAAAATATAAAACGGTTGGGATTCTCTTAGAATCTCGAACCATCTTAACAGCTTGATGGTTGTTATAAATAGACCTGAGTGGTCATGTCAAGAGTCATTCGACTCTTTCCACTTTTGGCTATTTCCAAGAACGAGAACTCTCGTTTGGTCTCGACGAAATCTCCGACGAACTTCGTCTCCTTTGATCAACGATGCTTCCTCTGATCGATCATGTCGATGGCGTCGCGAAGAGTGGGTTCTAGTCCCAAGAAAGTCGCTGGAGCGACTTCCGAAACATCGTCGGCTGAGGACGCCGACGCTGTTCTTGTTCCTGCGGGAACATCGCCGTCACCGTCACCGTTACAGGGGCCTCCCTGTCGTGGTAAGTGTTGACCGAAATAACTTGTCTTGGCAAGTTCTCTGAAAAACCTAGATGGGTTCTTGATAACGAGGAAGATGACTTGTTTCTGTTCTATGAAAACGTGAAGTTGGGATTCTCTGTGGATCTCGACTCTCGCGTTTAGATTTTTCAACACGAGGTTTGACTCTCGTGTTTGAGATTTCTGACACGAGGCTCGACCTTCGCGTTTTTCAAATTCTGTATTTACATCAACAGCTCGTTTTTAGCTGCTAATCTCTGCCTTTTTGATTGTACAGTGCTTTTCCCAAACGTGCCCCTTTCACAAGAGCAACATTTTGGATATATCGGCGGTCCTGACGCAAATGAAGCCTTCAGTCTTCAGGGCAGAATTCCACTGTGCACTTTTCCTGATTCGGAGAGAACGGACATGATTAAATTTCCCCGATGCTCTACTCTCAGAATTTTAATCACTGACTTGGACATGGAGACCCCTATCGGTCGTGCTCAGTTTCCCAAACCAGCATTCATATTCGGAGATCGTATAGCAATCGATGACCATCTTATACATGTAGAGGACTCAAAGTTGCTGCGGAGAGTTGATAATCGCTTCTTATTCCTCCCCAACATGAAGAGGATGTATTCGATCTCCTACTTTTTGAATATGAGCTGTCGCCGGGGTTTGACTTTTGACATAGTCAAGGAGAAAGAGAATGTGTCACTTGGATCTGGTCGGCGAACTCGTACCCAAATCGGGGGACAACTCAAGGGGTTGAGACCCGGCTTATTCGAGAAGAAGGATCTCGTTTCGGAGATGCCGCGTCCAGCGAATGTCTTCATTCGTCAGTTCATTGCGGCTCAGGGTGAATTCTTTACCCAAATGTTCAGGTCCCCAGGATGGGTTTGTTCCGGAGAAGAAGGTTGGTGGACCCATATGGTTGACTTCGTTCTTGAGGAGCTTAAGGAGTCACTCGCTCAATCAGGTCTCACAATTCCCGTGCTAGCTACTCGACGGGGGGTTGTGCAAAGCCATCACAATTTCTTCGCTATATTGGAGAAATATAACCCGGACAGCTGCACATTTTTCACACCCATAGGGGAATTGGGTTTTGCTCTACACGAGATGCAAGCGGTATCGGGGTTGCCGTTGGGTAAAATGCCATACGAAGAATTCATCCCTACCACCGAGGAGCTTTCCCTGTTGAGGGCGGCGCATCCAGAAGTCTATTCTACTTTCTGGGAGCTGATGTGCCACTTCCATATATGTGCTCAAGTCATCGGAATACGCGGAGGGGGGATTATGCATACCGCATGGGCGGAATACCTCTTTCAGAACTTGAACCTGAAAGACATAGCTGTATCTCGTGTTGCAGCCATTTCTCTTAAGGATGCTAAAACCCGAATTAAAGCTTCCAGCGCTACTTACAAGACAGAGCTTGTAGAGGATGACTTTGAGGCTGGTGTTGACTTTGAGAGTTTCCACCACCAAGCCACAGTTCCTATTTCTGACACGGCTCTTCTTGCAGGCTTCTTCATGATTTAGTTAAAATGGTGCGTAGTACCATCAAAACCAGTAGAGGCAATATTAGCTGAGGTTGTGTACCCAGCTGTTTTGCTAGTGCATGGGAGACTTGTGAGTCTTCTCACTGCTATGGTAAGCTGCATGCAGAGCGGCTTACGGATGTTGACCTCCGAACTTCTCGGAGCCCTGGGCGTTAAGGTTGCTGGGAAGAAGGTTAAGAAGGCTTCTCCACCACGTGTACCAATGCCGTATACGTATTTGGTGGCCTGGTTCGTATTGCATTGTCCTTCATTGATGACGGGAGTATCTGAGGGTGATGATGCTTATGTTCCCTTTGTACAGAGGTTGGAGTCGGCCACGTGGACTAATTCTTATATAGTCAGGGCTCGACAGTTTTTGTCTCGGGGAGACAATTATAAAATTTTCTGTTGTGCCCCTAATTTTGACGGAGCTGATGAAGAGAATGCCAGCTTTTCAGACATTCTTTTCGAGGGTTCGTCTTCATTAGAGGAGGGCACTTTCAGATGGCTTCTCATGATCAGATTAGGCTATCTGGTATACCGCTTGAGGGAGAAGTGTATCATTGAGCCTTACACACCTTCTAGATTCGCTAGAAAAGTCGGATATGATCAACTTTATGTCGGTAATCCTAATCCGGCATTGGCCCAAATCAGGAATCTGTACGAAGGGGCTCGTGCGTGGTTCTTCTTCTCTGCCGAAGGGACTCATGCACACTTTACCTTACCCAATTCATCGCCTGGCTGTTCTACCGTTGCGGACTTTCGCGACTGGTTTGATGAAGTTTCTCGAATCCCAGAATACGATATTCATACTTCATGCATAAGCGAGATTCGGGAATTGTATAAATCGAGAAGTCATTCTACCAAGAGTCGTTTACCATGAATAGAGGAGTATCTTTCCTGTGAACAAGAGGCGGCCGGAACAGTTGAAGCCTCACAGGAGTTGTCTACCATTGAGCCTTCTGGGGAAGAGGTTCATGCAGGGACTGAAGAAGGGTTGCCAACTGCGGATTCTCCTGAAGATAAGGCGGCTGAGGGAATTCCTATAAAGACCCCTACTCCTGAACTTCGTTCTTTGAGATCGGGTAAGAAGGCCCTTACTGCGGCAGAAGAAGGTGAATATGACAGGAGAACTCGCAAGAGAAAGCCTGTCACCGCCAAGAACTCCAAG